TCAAATGAAATAAACAAAGTCCGCTGCCATGCCAACTATGTAGTGTGAAATTCGGTGCAATCGTTTAAGAAAAGCATTAAAGGATAAATAAAGCTTCAGCTTTTTTTGCATATATCTACTGCTAGCAAGCAGTAGATATATGCAAATAGTGTAAAAAATAAAAATAAAACTACTTTTGAAAAGGGTTAATACTTATCTGTGTCTTCCCCCGTGTGCTCCCGTCCGAAAATGTGAAAATTCTCGGGCAACCGCAAAGCATCTTGGGGCGGGCGCATGCACAGATCACATTTTCGGCCAGGACGTGAGGAGAGACACAAGGTAAGTCTATGGACGCGTGCAGACACCGTGGGACAGGAAGTGTCAGCAAGCTCAGAGGAGTCGGCGCCGGATCGGAGACCCACCGCTGCGCTGGAGGGACAGATGAAAAGGACAAGAAAGAAGATCGGATTAAGAAACATCATTAAAGGTAAGTGCTGACATTAACATTGGGGGGGGAAGGAAACTTGAACTGATGTGCGTTAACATGCTTTTTTTTTGTGTGCTGAATTGTGCTGCGTTGATATGCAATGTTTAGACACATTGTCTACATCAGGAGCCCAAATAGATTGCTTTCCTAAATGTGTTTTGCAGCATGCTGTGATGTATGGTAATGTGTTGCAGTGTTTTTTGCTGTTTAAATGCAGCATATGCCATTTTCATAAAGCGCACACCAATACAACATGTTTGTGAGCTGAACCTATTGCAAACAATGAATTTTGGCAGGCCATTGCATTAGTCCTGCCTTGTGCAATGCTGTCTAACACAATGGTGTGTATGGCCCTTAAAGTGGAACTACAAATGGTCGGGACAAGCATATAGGCGCTGCCATTGCTGACTTGTTTTTAAAGTTGAACTACAACCTTCTATCCCTTACAGCCAAAGAAGGTGCCATCTTAGCCTCTATTTGGATTACAGTTGCCATTGTGCTGCACATGTGATCAGCTATGACACCAGCCATTTGAGAGCTTGAAAGTTCGGTTGAGAGCTGCAATAGGCACACTGGCAACCTTGACAGATGGCATGGTTCGAAAGTAACTGCTTTGGGGAGAGCAATAGATGATACACAGGGGGGGGATTTATCATACCGTGTTTCCCCGAAAATAGGACACTGTCTTATATTTTTTGGGGCTCAAAAAAACACACTAGGTCTTATTTTCGGGGTAGGTCTTAAAGTTAACGCAAATCCAAATTAAATAATCCAAAATGGCAAAGTTAAGAATATGGTGATCAGGGCAATCAGGGGTGCCGTACCTTTCCAAGAGCAATTAGGTAACCAATTGCTGGCCAGAATGAGCGAAGTGCGCTTTCACTATCCATTCCTCACAGACGGAGTGCATTTGGTATCACCCCGCCTGTGACAGGAGCCGGCGCTATAGAAGAAGCATCGCCTTATGCGGCTCTGCTCCCTCCGCTGCCGCCTCACTTCCTCTAGCGCTGGCTTCATTGGCACCGCTGATTTTCTCCCGCGGCTCTTCAAGTTCCCCCTTATGCAACCACCGGCCCTGGGAATGGTCACAACTAGGTCTTATTTTCGGGGTAGGTCTTATATTTTAGCAATTCCCCAAAATAGTACTAGGTCTTATTTTCAGGGTAGGTCTTATTTTAGGGGAAACAGGGTA